GCCATAGACCGTGTTTTTAGGACCAGCGATAAAGCCTGGGATCTTCAAATACAGCCACCTACTCGACCAAAATAGAATAAAATAATAAATAATTAGAAACTTTTGGGATCAAGTGACAAGAAACCGGACGTTGGAAATTTTCCAATTGTGGGCCTATATTAACAGTCAGAGTTGAGATTAGTTCTGCATAGCCTGCTGGCGGAGACAAACTATACTTAGGTAATTGTGATGACGCCTATTCGAGTTCACAGCCGCGCATGATGACATGGAGATGGGTGTTGGTAGGAGAAAGTCTGAAGGAAAAACTGATCTATTAGTTTGAAGTAGCGGAAGTTCCAAGTGTCACCTACCTATCCACTCAGACCGTTCAAGTGCATTTCGGAATAAACAACGAAATATATTGGAAAATGGGGTTCGGCTCTCGCAGTGGCGTTTATCTTCACCTTTTTCGTTTCCTTGTTGGCGTGCAAGGATCTTTTCTAAGTTTTCGATGCACACCGATGCGGACGAGAATAGAGACGTAACCTGGGGGTAATTTGTTAGGTCGGTGAAAAACTGAGAGAAGGCTCATTTTATTTCATATATATATATATAAAACAAATATTTGTCTTTAACTTATTATGAGCGCGGGGTATTAACAAAAAAATCGTTTCAAACTTATTGCGAATATATGCGATAGCAATATATGCGATAGCAATATCGCAATAATTTGACTTCGTAAAGACAGATAAAAAAGAAAAAAAACTGGAGAAGGAGTGAGACAAGGAGATACAAATTCATCGCCAGGAAAATGAACCGTGAATAGACTATAACCCACCGAGGCTTTGTTTATGATATTTTACTGATGTCAGATGAATTACATGAAATGCGAAATGATTTAAATAAGAATGGTCTATAAAAATAATGATAAATAAGAGAAAATTAATATTCAGTTTTTTTAGGTTTGGCTTTGATTTGATTTGTTTTACGGCATATCAACACCTCAATGGGTTATTTAATACCGACAAGATTTTTATTGCTGCTAATTTTTTTTTCTCCAAAAATCCACCCGTAAAAAGTCATTTTTACAGGTGGAAGATGAATATTACCAATAATCCAATACAAGGCCCAATAGCCACTCAAAGTAGAGGCTTAGAGAATGAGGCTGTTGTAAGGGAGTACAAAGGGAGAATAAGTGGTACGATATATAGGATAGATAACGGTTGATCCTAGAATTGAAAAGATTGTAGTGATTTGTTTAATTTGCTTTACGGCATATCAACACCTCAAGGGGTTATTTAATGCTGACAAGGTTTTTATTGCTGCTACTTTTTTTCCCAAAAATGTATTGCCGGTAATAATTTTTTTTTCCCAAAAATGTATTGCCGGTAATAATTTTTTTTTTCCAAAAATGTATTGCTGGTAATATTTTTTTTTTCAAAATGTACTGCTGGTAATAATTTTTCTCAAAAAATACTGCTGGTATTAAAATATTTTTATAGTGTTTTGCAGCCTTTTTGTAGGGGTGGGTAACTATTTGCCCATAGCTGTGACCTTGACAGGTGCTATCACCCCGGGTCAATTAAAAGGCGGTTCCACGCTTCTCAAACCCCCCTGATCAAAGGCTTTTGCTGTCGGATGTAGTCTATCGTCTTACCCAGGACGCGAATGTAGTTTATCGTCATACACAGGACGGATATTCAGAAAATACATATATTTAGGAGAGCTGCTTACCTCAAAGACGGTGGAAATTAAAGAAAAAGTAAGTGGTAAACATTTAGCAAATAAAGTAGACATAGAATGAAAAACAATATCTTTATGGGAAATTTAATGCCGATATTTAAATTTTCTAGGAGTTTGAAACAATAGAAATATTATATATATTATTCTGCTTTCACAAGTGAATACATGGTAGATGAAACTCAGCTTTTGTGCATATACATGTTTGTGTAGACATGATTACTAGAGGCGATGATGTGTGTGTGTGTGTGTTATATTTTGGAATACACAAAGTGTAGGATATTATAAGGATTAATGTCATAGAAGAATTCTTTCTTGTTGGTTGTTTGCTTGATTTCGATTAACCTGAAAGTAAATTTTACTGTTTTTACTAACCATACGCTCCCACGGTAGCTAAATGGTATAGCACGTCAGGCTATATGGCGGCTCTATGTAGGATACAGGTTCGATTTCTGTGGAAGGACATACTTTTTATGAAATTTCTTGGATTTCAAACCGGTAAATGTTCTTAATAATGTTTATTTACTTAAATATTTGTATCTATAAAAATAACGTATAACAAAATATATTAAGGTAATTATCAGATTTAGTCCATTTTATATATATATATATATATATATATATATATATATATATATGTGTGTGTGTGTGTGTGTGTGTGTATAAATATAAATAAATAAATATATATATATATATATATATATATATATAATTATGTATATTTATTATATGCAACCTACTTCATAGAAAGCGCTCAATATCAAACTGATTAATTTTTTAAAAAATTGGGTTTAGGTGAGTTTTAAAAAATTTTCAGTTTTGCGATCATCGCAAAAAGCTGAAACCCAGGGTCAAAAACTTTATCCAAAAATATGTTAGGATATTGAGCGCTTTCTAAATACCGCGCATATATAATATATATACATAATTATATATATATATATATATATATATATATATATATATATATATATTTATTTATATTTACACACACACACACACACACACACACACACACCCACACATATATATATATATCTTAAATAATGCAGATTAATAAATATTGTAAAAGAGTTATTCAAAGAATAAATCAATAAAGTTAATGTAATTAATGGCGAATTCAGTTCGCTAACAGATTAAGTAGGCATTAACTCACTGACCACTCGCTGACCATCACGATCCTTGTTTTTATTACGTGTACAATTGATTAGATGTTCAGTCTATACTGATTGCAAGTACTTTCGGAAAAATATTTACCATCCTCAGGCATAGATGTTATTTTTTTCTCAATTTCAGGAAAAATTTCAAGACGAAAATGGATGTGATAATGTTTTATTAAAAGGTGTGTTATTATTAACAGTTAAGAATGTTTTTGAACGTGCAGAAGTGCAATATTGAATATTTTAGTAATTCAAAATGTCTGTTCTTGTAAGTATTTTTGCCGTTGACGTGACATGGACTATTGTTTTAATAGTTAGAGCAATATCTAAGAAGATTTCAGATTTTTTTTTTTACTGCAGATCGACCCTTTTTAAAAATATAATGCAGTTTAATTAAAATAATACAGCTTAATTAATGTGAAATAGTCATTCAATGAATAAATCAATAAAGTTAATGTAATTAATGGCGAACTCACTTCGCTAACAAGGATCGTGTTGTTCAGTGTGTTTAATCTGTTAGCGAAGTGAGTTCGCCATTAATTACAGCGCCTCCATAAACTGGCGAAAGCCATGACTAAAATTCTAACCTACTCCTTGGAACAATCAGTCCATGTCGTATAAAGAACTCTGGCAGCCTTGTTGAAAAACTAAGGGAAATGAACATGACCGACGAACACATGGTCAGCCTAGATATAAAATCCTTCTACAGCAACGTCCCAGTTGAAAAATGCCTAAATCTCCTAAAAAAGCATCTAACACAATTAAAAATAAAGCTCTCTCGACCAACAGCGAAAGTAATACATTTCTGCTGTCTCATCACCAATCAATTCTACTTCACATTTAATAATGATTGTTACAAACAAAAATGTGGATTACCAATGAGATCACCTCTCAGTGAGGTGATAGCATGTATCTTAGAATTTCTCAAGTCTGATCGTTTCAAAAATATTTTAGCCCAACAAGCAACATAGTTCCGTTATACTGATGATGCTCTACTTATATATACTCGTGATACTGATTTATCTAGCCTAGTAGATCAACTTAACAAATTTGAACACAATAGAATTTAAATACAAAATAGAAGAACACAATTCCTTATCCTTCCTAGATATCAAGTCACAACGCGTTAACAAAAATTTAAAACTGGGTGTCCACTGGAAATCAACCAACAAAAACGAATTAATAAATTTCTATTCCTATTATGAAAACAAAATAAAATCCGGCATAATCCTCGGGTGCTACTTAAGAGCACTAAGAGTATGCAGCCCGGATTATTTATACAAAGAGAAATACATTGAAAACTTTTTCAAATTTCTCCAGTAACCTAATTATTTTATAGTCAATGCAAAACAAAAGGCCCATAAAATATTTCCAAACAAAAAACAGCCCCTCCTAAGAAACCCAATGGAGCAAAAATAGATTATCCTGCCTAATAATTATATCACATCTACAATAAAAAAAAACTACATCTAAAACAATAAAAGACTTAGTCGATATCAAATAAAACAATAAGCTAAAACCTGAAAGAGGAATTTACTCCATCAGCTGCAATAATTGTCACAAAAAATATATAGGAGAAACCTCAAGGAATCTAAATAAAAGATTATATGAACACAAAAGGGACATTTTACAAAACAATACGTCAAATACGCTGGTTACTCACCGTAACGAGACTAACCAGAATTTTGACATAAAACATGCTACTCTGATCAAAGGAGAGAATAGTTCATTACAAACTAAATGTGTAGAGAGTGCATTGATCACAAGGTCATCAACAATACATTTGCACCCTGGCTTTTACAATATTGGACGAAAAAAAAGGTTTTGGTACGAAATTCCAATCACCTGAAGAAGGCTGATTCGTACAACGGACGAAACGCCGTGAATATGTCAACAAATATGAGGACAACAGTCCGAACAATGTAAATAGCCTAAACAATTAAATATTTTATACATATTTGAAAACACCGTCTCCTGTGGTGAAATATATTTTCGATATTTTGGGTTGTTTAATTTGTATGATAATCCCTTCTCAAATATTTAATCTTTCCTTGCAGTGGGCGCTGCATTTGCATATTATTCACTTATATTTTTTTTTATGCTGATAGTTGTATTTTGGGCTTACGGCCATATCACATTGAAACACCAGTCCTCGTCAAATCACCGAAGTTAAGCAACGTCGAGCCTGGCCAGTGGCTAGATGGGTGACCACTTGAGTATAAAAGGTGCTGCAAACTTGGATGTGCGTGTGGTATAATGCATGATAGTTCGGAAGTAGAAATCGGAGTGCAGTCGAGTTCATTTACATTCAATTACGTGCAGATACTTTCAGTATCTTTGAAAAAAAATATTACCAGCAATAAATATTGGCATTAAATAAGCCATTGAGGTTGATATGCCGTAAATCAAACCAAACCAAACGTGCCCTTGATCCAAATGAGGCAGAGGATTAGTACAACTCCAACTATCTTATAAAACCACAACAATCACTTTTCAAAGATTCCTGGAACCTACAAAAGATTGGATGATGATCTGTATCAAGAAATATAAAAGAAATAAGAAATTTTATTAAATAATAAAGGAAGCCAATAAATTAAAATGAGAATTTCAAGTGGGTTAAGAAGTAAATATAAACCATAGTGTCTCTCCTGCAGCGGAAAACAAAGCTAAAAACGCAAAAGCAAATGCAATGGACTAAATGAAGAAACGATGGCAAGATAACCCTCCTCGTGGTCAATACTCTGCCCGTACCAACCAAGCTGATGTAGACGAACCCCATAGCCACAAGTTGTTACGTAGTTCACAGTTAAAAAACCGAAACGAAAGGTTCTTTTTTTTACTTGCTAACTAGAAATTACCAAGCTAATAGTAAAAAAATTGTGTTAACTCGAAATACGAAATCTGTGATAAATATCCAGAAACAACTAACCATCGTGTATCAGCTTGAACAGTGCTAGCAGCCATTGAATATAAAACTTGCATGACAGCGTGGGCCAATATCTGCATTGGAAATTCTACAGGAAGGTAACTGCAAGAAATTGGTATGAACATCACCCAGACCCGATTACGGACATAGGACCTATAACAATTTTATGCGACTTTACGATACACACACACACACACACACACACACACACACACACACACACACACACACACACACACACACAATCAAAGCTAATCGTCCAAACACCAAAGACTACAAGAAAAGAATGTGCTATCTTATTGACATTGTAATGTATCTTTGAAGATCTTCAAAAAGTTATTAAAATAAAAGGACCTTGAAGTGGAAATCTAAAATATATGGCACGTGAGAACATCAATAATTCCAGTTGTAGTTGGAGCCCTCAGATTGATTAGAAAAGGTTCCGATAGACTCATTGAAGGGATCCCTGTTAGCCCATGAATTAAAGAAATACAAAAATTGTACTCACAAGTACATTTGAGACATTACGAAGAGACTTTGGAAAATGCGTGTGGATTTAGGTTGTCATTTTTTTACAAAAAAACAAAACAAAAAAAAACTCCAAACTTAGGTCTCTGGCTGGGAACCGGAAAAAATGTAATACAACAGAAATCAATGGAAATAATAATAATAATAATAATAATAATAATAATAATAATATACGTATAATTATTTGATATAAGCTTTGACCGTTTCCACGACGTTTACTTTGCACTGATTTGTATTCAATCATTCTCAAATGTGCCAGGATGTAGGCAAAAAAAAAAAAAAAAAAAGAAAAAAGAAGAAAAGAAAATCTTGCCTAACAACCCCCAGCTCTTGATAATAACTGAGTCGGTAGAATGTATTTGAACAGAAAACAGAACGAAAATAAACTTCCGGCAGCCTATCCACACTTTTGATCTCGATGTACAATGTCTTATTCCAAAATTAGAAAAATAAAATAAAAATTAAACAGACATAACTTGTACATTGAATTTAACAAAACTTATTTGAATGAATTAAATATACCTAAATATACCTTCTATCTATCTATCTATCTATCTATCTATCTATCTATCTATCTATCTATCTATCCCAATCTCTTTCCAACCTATCTATCTATCCCAAACTTTTATCTATCTATCTATCTATCTATCTATCTATCTATCTATATATCTATCTATCTATCTATCTATCTATCTATCTATCTGGTTTTGTTTGTGTGTGCACTGGAGAGTAATGGAGACCTTTCTTGATTCCTCAAGACTTTGTGGTACTTTTAGTGAGAAATTATGCGAGAAGCCAATGAGTCGTTGCCAAATCTTTGACAGGTACTTGTAGAGACACGGCAGTTCGTCTGTGCCAACTGCCCGAGGCAGTCATCTTATCATAAGAGTAGCATGTCCCAAGAGCGCTATAGAAACAGCAGGAATTTGGATGGACAGCACAGTAACTAGGAAAGTAATCACCAGACGTTAGTGAAGAGAAACATCAAATAGCCATGTGTGCTCTTGGGGATTCACGCGATTCCATACATATACCAAGAGAAACAATCGAAGTGTGTGGGCTGACCGAAAACAGGTATCCAAGTGCTCAATGGCACATGTTGAAAATGGGTAAATATTAAATTAATTAGCAGTTATCTGCGTACTTGAATCATTTATTATTGGACCCTATCAATCTAGGCTATGTGACTAACAAGTATTTAATGTTCCTGTCTGTATAGGGGGACAGCGATTTCAAAATCTTAAACTCCTTCGTCAAATATAGCAACTTAACAATGACGAGGCATTATGTTCAAATATCTACTAATGATAAAAACAGACACATAATACTACCTACTATGTTCATGTTAATAAGAAATAGTCTCAGATTAAAAAATAAATTATATATATATATATATATATATATATATATATATATAGTTAAGTTATGAAGAACTTGGTAAACCGAATTGGTAAATCCAAGGAGGATGAAATCCTGAGAGCTCAATGTAAAGAACAGAGCTAATATTTAATGAAAAATAGACAATTTAAGGAACCATTACAATAATTTATTTCACCAAAATCCTTAAAGTGTCTATTTTTTCATTATATATATATATATATATATATATATATATATATATATATATATATATATACAAGAAGGCTAATCAAAAACTATGAAGACTGGTGCTATACAAATAAAACTACAGTACATACCAATTCGGCATCTAAAAGCCACACACATTATCCTGTGCCATTTCCATTTGGTTCAAGCCTTCCTTGGACTCCTTTTTTCTTATAGCGAGCAGTTGCCTCGTCGGATTCTTCTGGATTGCCTCGACGTCTTGAAATCTCGTTCATTTCAAGTTGCGTTTGGTTTTTTAGAAAGAGAAAAAAGTCAAAAAGGGCGACATCAGTGAAACATGGTGTTGTCGAACCTGGAGGAGGTAGTGTTTAACCAAAACCATCTTCACACTCCATGAGCAGTGGTGGAAACTCTGTGAAGTGGTGCGACAACCACACTCCACACACTTTCCTTCCAATCACAGCTATAAACAAAGGATGCAAGCGAAAACGTTATAAGACAGAAATCACGGTCTATCTGTGTCAAGTGACATCACTCTGCATACTTTAGCTCCGTTACCATAGTAAAATCCAGATACATTTTATTTTTCTCAGACCTCATATATATATATATATATATATATATATATATATAAACAAAAAGGAAAAAATATCATCGCAAATGCAAGGATTTTTATTTTGAAACAATTATTATACACTAGAAAAAATGTTATATTTTTTTTTAAAAAACAAAAAAAACAAACTAAATTTAAGAACGCTCGTAAATATTATTCAAGTTAGCTGAAAAGTCTAGGCAAGCTACGGAGGATTCAAAGTGACACAACTCGAAAATGAGTAAATGATGTTCTTGTATTTTTTAATGCAAATTATTATTTAAATTAATTTAGTTTGGGATTAATTTACGCGTTATATATTTTGAATAACATAGGATTATGAATTTAACCGTTTTTTTTTTAAATTAACATTTTCATGTTGGCTTGAGAAAGTAGTAATTCTTTTAGGAATGAAGTTATTTGAAAGATCTGGTGCGCAGATTTATATTTTGATAAAATTCGATAGCGGCACTCTCGAGAATTTTCCGTCTAAGTAAATTGCCTTCTCTTTTGATAAATGTCACCTTCTTTAGATCAATGTTGTGGTTGAATTTATTTCTATACATAACTAATGCATTTGATAAATTGTTGGGCATAAACTCCTTTTTGCGTTCATAGATAAGTATTTTAAATATCTGCACGTTTCCCCAGTGTATCGTGAGGAGCATTTCTGGCAGTTTATTTATACATACTTGCTTCAGAATTATTATTGTTATGGATATTTCCAATATCTTTATTATTTTATCCGCAATGCTAAGAGAAATGCATACAAAATATACAGCTACAAAAATAGATAACGGTGTTAACTACAATAACAAGAGCAATAAACTAGATAAAAACAGACGCATACCTACTAACTCCGTGACATCCACTCTCTAAAACAATTATTTATACAAGCATATCCAAAACTCTTATAAATATGACCAAAACCAAAAATACCTTATAGCCATAGTAATTATGAATAGAAGTTATCATTATTTATACACAGACTAGTGTCCTCATCTTTGTTATTATCACAACGTGTCGGCAGTTGGGCCCTCCGGCCTTCCCCAGGTCTATATCAATCGGGGTAACCTAAAGAGAATTCTTAACTAAATCCTTTATTTAATCCACGGGAGAGGGTAAACTATTCTCGTTCCACTGTTCATATCTAGGAATATCGAATAGTTTTTATTTTTATTTAGTTCTGTTCAGTTATTACTCAATAGCGCAACTACACACTGCCCAACCCAGCGATTGAACACACAACCAATATTTCACCAAATCATCACTTTTATCCACTAGGCCATTGTCCCGTAGAAAAACGTAGAGCCTTAAACCTGCTGATTAGTTTGCAGCTGCTATTGCTGGCGTTTCTCATATTTCACTGCTGCAGCTGTCCATATTTCTTTCTTTTTTTTTTTATTAGGGGCTACTATGTTGTATTTATTTCTATGCTAGGCCTACTCAGGAGGTTCTCATAGCCTAGCATATGCGCTGATTCTGCTAAAGGTCTAACTCTCCAATGTTCTTCCTTGTTCAATATTTTCACTTCATTTCACAGGGTTTATGACTACCGCTTTTCCATCCTACATGATCAGGCATGCCCGATTTCAGTTTTAAATCAGTGCTCAACTTCGCCA